TAGCTCCTTATTTTAAACTTTCAGAGTTACAAATGCCTCATTCCGAGGATGAGGTGGAGCATATGTCAAAGATTCCTTATGCCAGTGCAGTCGGTAGCATTATGTATGCTATGGTATGCACACGTTTGCGGAAACCTTTGTGGCATAGAAGAATTATAGAAGTATTCCTCGCAGAATGATTGACTGTATGTGGATCGACGTTGGTGTTCATACCACGCTATGGTATTCTCCTATTTGATCGACTGTCGGTGTTCAAATTTTTCTTTGTGGCATAGAAGAATTATAGAAGTATTCCTCACGGGATGATCGTGTATGAGAGATGTGTTAGACATTCAGGCGGTGGAGTTGGGATCGGATATGGTGATTCATGTGTTCTATGGATTTGTAGACTGGGAGCTCTCAGAAGCAGATTTTTGCATGGTTGTGGACTATAAAGTGTGGCCAAAGCTATCCAGCTGATAGTATGTGTTATGATTCAGTCATTGTAGACTTTCGGAGGATTATTTATCTATTTATGGATGACTAGAGTTGATTTGGGGGTCAATTGGTTGACACCGAACTGCTATTGTTGAGAGATATGTTATTCGGTTGTTATTAAGCTTGTTCGTGTTCTGAAATGACCTATGAGTTACTCTTCTATGCTACGAGGAGTTGTGAATCATTGGTTATAAGCACACATGGTGCGGTTCTATTTGGGTTTATAACAGAAATTTGAGCAAGATGAGCATTCGGGTATTGTGTGATTAATCGCGTGTTGGCTGTGTTCTTTTCGGATAATGGCATTATGTTATTTGCCCTCTGTGGTTATTGTAATGTACTTTGGGTAATTGATGTCAAATTTTGTGTGGTAATTGATTTTGAGCAAGGCGGCTCGAGGAATATAAAATGGACCGACATTGGGATAGGGTCACACATTGCAGCAAAGTTATATTGAGGTATAACCCTTTGTGTTAGATTCATGTGTTTTGGTTTTTGCGGTGTGTGATAGGCTCTTAGCATTGCTTTGTAGCAGTACTCGTTGAGCTTGCGGGATGGTTCCCTCGTTTGAGTCATTTTTATGTTTTGAGTATATTTGGACTATTACTTATTGGTGCACGGATTGCATGGGTTGTGGCTTCAAATTGTATTGATGTGTCATGTCGCTAGAGTGGTCGTGTTGGATGAGATTGGGTTATTAGATATAGAATGAATACTATTGGAATTGATTACAACATGGTTGGAAGGATATTGTTGTTGATCGGCTTAGAAATTTGCTATAGTTCCTATCAAAGGAGAGAGAATTCCACAACTTGTTAATCTGGTGAATGTTATGAGTTTCTGTGTGTTCCTTTCATCATTGGCAGTATATGAAGGTGCTAGAACGAGGCTTTGTTTGATAAAAGGTTTATTACCGACATTAGGTTATTTTGAGCAGCTACTGTGATTAGAAATTATCGCTATAAGTATTTGAGTTTTGAGGTATATTATATGATTACGTCTTGAGTTACGGGTATGGCTTGATACAGCTTGTTCAGACTTATACAGTGTGTAGATGCGAGACTCTAATCTTATAGAAAATTCCGAATGTTAGAATTTTGATTCTAAGGCTTATGGGCTAGGTTGGGTTAAGGAATTTCAATCATGCTATGTTATCAGACCTATATGGGATAAGGTGACATCGGATCACCCCCGAATATGTGCATGGTAAGGTTATACAACGATTTTTTGGCTTTTGGAACAACTCTGGGCATGTTCGAGGATGAACATATGTTTAAATGGGGGAGGATGTAACGACCCGACCGGTTGTTTTGAGCTTTTGCACTTCGCTCAGTAGTTTGGGGGAACGAGTAGCTCCGTATGATGTATTAGGACTTGTGTGTAAAATTTGGGTTCATTCCGAGTTGATTTGATATGTTTCGGTGTAAGTTTTTGGAAGTTGAAAGTTCGGAAGTTCATTAAGTTTGATTTGAGGTGCATTTCGTTGTTTTGATATTGTTATGTGTGTTTTGAGGCCTCGAGTAGGTCCATATTACGATATGTAACTTATTGGTATGTTTAGATGGGGTCCCAAGGGGCTCAGGTGAATTTCAGATAGGTTTGGGTTGTGTTGCGCTCGTTTTTCTTATGTTTCGACGTCGTTTCTTCAAGCATAAATGGTACCACATTGAACAAAAGATCTCCGATTTCTATTTTTATTGAATCATTAGATCCATATCGTAATTACGGAGCCATAGCAAAAAGAATCATCAAATTTGGACATCATATGAGGATATTATTGTCATTTTACTAAGAATTGGGTTACCAGATTTGTTTCATATTAATTAGGAAATTGCCACTGCTACATATTTAAAAAAATTTGCACTATTTCCAAATATTGAAACCAACATATCTACTTCAATATAAGGTTAAATGGAGTAATTCAACAATCTAACTTGACTAGAATTTCACAAGGAATCCATTGGAGTTATCAAAAGTGAGTTTCGAGATATTTTGGCACAAGAAATGAGGCAGAACATTGTTAAAACGAGAGTTTTATGTATTTAACATATTTTGAGTTGGGGAGCTCGGAATTGGGCAATTTTTCGAGGCGCTTTTCAGTACATGAATTGGGGTAAGTGTTCTCTACTCGGTTTTGATTATATTTCATGAAACTATCTTCGATTTTAGTTTTTGGTAGATGAATTTTAAAGAAGAAATTGGGGGTTTTGACCTAGTGTTTCATAATATGAATTTTTGAGTTTTGAACACCGATTTGGAATCAGATTTGAGTGAAACTAGTATGGTTGAACTTGTAATTGAATGAGTTGACGGATATTGAGCTTTTTGTTGGGTTTCGAGGTGCGAGCCTGGGATGGGCTTTTTGGCCGATTTTGAGCTTTTGATTAAAGATTTGATCTTTTTTGTTTGGAATTGGTTCCTTTAGCATTGTTTGATGTATTTGAGTTTTTTTATTAGTTTCAAGCCATTCAGAGGTCGGAACGCAATTGATGGGATTATTGGAGCATTGATTGGCTTACTCGGTGTCGGAATTTGCTTGTTTAAGATAACTAACTCTTCTAAGCTTAGTGCTGAGGGTATGAAACCACTAACGATGTGTTATGTGATTGGTATTGAGGTGAAACACATGCTAGGTGACAGGCGGGTGGGCGTGCACCCAGTGAAATGGGACTCTGTTGTTCCCATGGCCCTGTATAATGGCCCTCTTTTATTGATATTTGTATTTTTATCATGTGATAAAGTAATTGAGCTGTCAATCATGCTAAATATCATGTTTAGGCTTTATGCTGATATTGTTTGTACCCATAGTGGTTATTTCTTGCTATCATCTCACTGATTTCCATTGATGTACTCAGTCATATTCATGCATTCACATCGTATCTCAGTCTTAGATATTGTTATTGATGCATCATATCATTGTTGTCGGGCTAGTTTCATGACATTTTGAGCCTGTGAGCGAGACTAGAGAGAGTGATGACTGAGTGAGGCCGAGGGCCTGATTGTGAGTATATATGGATCGGGCTGCACGCCGCAACGATATTGGGTCGGGTTGCACGGCGCAGCGATATAGTGCTTGGGTTGTAGGAGCCCCTTCAGAGTCTGTACACCCCCCAGTGAGCGCAGTTGACTATACATATATATGGATCGAGTTGTACGCCGCAACAGTTATTATACAACGCTGAGTGATTTAGTGTGCTGAGCATTGAGCTTAGTAAGAGAGGATGCAAGGTAATGACATTGTGTACTCTGAGAGTGCGAGTACATATTTTATCTCAGAGATACATGGCATTCCCATGCATACATGAGATATAGGCATAGAGATGCATTCTTCCTCATGTTATATAGTATCACGTCATTCATGACTTATTATATACATTGATATGTGGATATGGAGAAGCACTTTATACTTGTTATTTGGAAAGAAAATAAAACATTTTATTTATTTTGGAAAGGATATTTGGAAAATTATAGTTTTCAAACTTACTCGTACTTTTGGCATTTTCGTAAGAGATCTAGGATTTTCTTTCACTGAGATATTTGAAAAGCATGACCATTTTCTGGAACTGTGAACGAGCTGAGTATTTTACTTTTGAGATATCTCTTTTATACTTGCATTTATGTTGTTATGAACTGTTGTGGAAATATTGGCTTTGGACCTGATCCTGTCTTAGCTCTTCACTACTTTCAACCTGAGGTTAGGTTTGTTACTTTTTGAGTACATGGGGTCGGTTGTACTCATACTGCACTTCCTGCACATTGCGTGCAGATTCCGGATGCCGATGTTGCTGATGGTTGTTGGATTTGAAGGTGTACCTGCGTCCTTGATGTAGCTGCCTCTTATTCATGGTCGCCTTAGCTTTATAAAACTCTGTTTATGTATTTTTCAAACAGAAGATATATTTTCTTCATATCGGCTTTATGAAATCTATTCTTAGAAGCTCATGATTTATACTATCAGTCCTTGGAGAATGTATAAAATTTAGTTAACTTCTCAATTTAGTTGTTTGGTTGACTTTAATGGAATTGGATAGTTATTAGTTGACTTACCAAGCGGGTTGGGTTAGGTGTCATCACGATTAGTGGATTTTGGGTCGTGACATATGCCATTTTTCTACATACATAGAGAATGTACAAAGAGTAGAATATATTAGGCTGAAATGAAGAATGCTCATAAATGAATTAGGGAGGGACTAAAACAAGAAATAATGCTCATGATATGGAAATTAAACACTTCAGGAAATTTCTTAACACTCAGATACTTAAAAAGCAACATAATATATCTTCAAAGCTAAAAATCCAGGTAAATATAACCTTAAAAAAGCCCTTTTCTTTGAAAAAATTACTAAATTTGAGATACCCAGTTTAATATCGAACATTCAATCACAATAACAACACCAAAAGGCCTAGAATTTACAGAAAAAACCTTTCACCACATCCAGAGAAAGTGATAACTGAGAGACCACTATTAAGACCGAGAATCGACAAACTTGGGAAATAAAAGTAGAGATAGATAGATTTTGTACCTTCAAACCTTCGAATGGCTTCGAATAGCTTACCCTCAGAATGATTTTCAAACTTTGAACTTTCCTCCTTCCTTCTTTGGCTTTAGATGATAGGCTATTCCTGTAGATTCTAAAGTGGGTCAGAGAAATTTGAGGTAAAATCTGATAATATAATTATCACTGTAAATGATTTAGGATTTGAGCACATACCTTATGGAGTCACAATTCACAATGTGTGATTAGGGCTTTTGAGTTGTCTCTACCGAATGGTTCACATGTTGTAATTTTAGCGATTTGAGAGATTCTGAGGTGTCGAGTAGAGAAAATTTTAGAATTTTACAAAGAAGAAGTGCAGCAAAGAACTAGTATTGGAGCAAGAAAACCTAGCAAAGAGAACATTTGATATTTTTGGACATTCTTTGTAGTACTTTTTATCTTAAGACAAAATCAATTAATCTATTTGGAGTGACCAAGTAGCTACAAGTTGCCTTTTTGAGGCGGCTATTTACAAGTCGCTGCTAACTACGTAACCAAAATTATATTCTTAGCAGAATATAAAATTTCAGTATTAGTAGCACATATTAGTGGCAACGTAAAAATCTCGCCACTAAATATTTACCTTCAACAACGACTTTAACGGTCGCCGCTACTAGTATAATATTTGTTGCAACAAATAGAGTCGCCACTAAATGTTGCCGCAAAAAGTCCCTTTTCTTTTTAGTGAAACTAGCCTAAAATTTGAACTGGATTCTGGGCATTAATACTATAAAAATTATTACGCTACCATGTTAAGTTAGCCTATTATAACAAGTTATTTCATATCATACTTGATATAGCAATTAGAAATATTCAATTTTAACTTTAATTGAATAACTTACACAAATAATATAGAAATTATTCACGTTGTTAATTTACTTACTCCTATAAAACTTTAACTCTAAAAAGAAAGGGAGTTTCTCCTCTATATATACTATAATAGAAACTTATTTACCTATTTTCTCGATGTTTTGTAGTTTTTAATAAGTATCTAAATTTTTCTTACAAATTGTATATATTCCCCCTTAAAGGGTTTTCACTCCATTATTAGTGTCTTCAATTAAGATATTCAAATTCATCCTTTCCATTTTTTCCCTCTCCGCTTCTCTCTCCTTTTTTATATCAAAATCCCTAAATTTACACCAAATTCTCCATCTTCTCTCTTCCTATCATTGACGACAACTCTATATTACTAAAAAAATTGTCAATTGCGTCGTTCTTTTGCTGGGAGACTAGACAACATTGAACATGAAGAAACATTCAGATTGTTGCCAGAATTATTCTTAATGTCGTTCCATTAAGATGCTTTGAAGCTTTGAATTCTATATTCAGATTTTTAGATTTTGTTATTTGTTTGGATTGGATATTCTTGCAAATGATTAAAAATATTCTTTGGAAATTATATCTCAGTTTTGAGGGAGATTAGTTAAGTATAGAGTTTGTTTTAAGTAAAATTTCAGATTGATGAAACTCGAAAAAGAAGTGGTTGTAGGAATTGTATCATAATTGTATTTGAATTGTATCTGATATATCAATGTCTAAAATATAATTATATCATACTTGTATCACAATTGTGTCTAACTGGTAAATGGTACATTAACACCCAAAGCAATACCCGATACAACTTGTGAAATTGGTCTCAAACTCACAAATGCTCGTAGTAATATACAATGAAAATACAATTATCATACATTTGTATACAATTTCTGTAATAATTATGGTACAACTACAATTAAAATATAATCACGATGCATTTCTAGAAAATTATGATACAATTAGGATTTTCATCTTGTTCAAGTTTTAGTCACAAATCTAAACTAAAAATATAATATAACATGGTATTATAATTATATTAGTATTGTATCAAGTATTATTTTGGTTATTGATGTATCATCTATAAGTTACATACAGTTTTGATGCAATTGTGGTACAATTCTTAAATAAATCTAATAGAATTATAATATAATTCAGATTTTTTTACCTATCAGTGAAGAGATTAGTTGCAAATCGAAGTTCAAACCCATAAAATTTTAGTAAAGACATGGCAATTTGGGAAGATCTCTATAAAAAATGTCATATAAATTAAGAATACAGAGAAGGATAAGGTTGAACGAGTTATATAAGAAGAATCAAAAAGAAAGAGAAATTTTGGATAATTAGTAAGAAAGAGAAATATTGGGTTTGAAATCCGTTGGAAAAGGAAAAGAATTGAAAATGTAGGATGGGTTATTGGAAATGGGGGTAGGTATCGTGGATAATAACAAATAATGGCCAGATTTAAGGGATTTTCAATTTTCTTCTTTTATAAGATTTTGTACATAAATTATAAATATAGATATAAATGTAATTACAAAAGAATCTAATTAAAGATGATAATTAGGTTTCTATTATAGTATAGCTAAGTAAATTTTCCAAAAAGAAATACTTCTGAAAAGACCTTTATTCGTGGTTGTCAGCGTGGGTTGCTCAAGGCCCAAGCAGGTAAAGGCTTTTCTCAAGGGCCCTATTTCAGGATCCAAAAGTTGTTAATATTAGTTTTTTTTAAAAGCAGTTGTTAATACTAGTTAGTATATGGTTTTAAGTCAGTTAATCCATATACCGTTTAACTTTATTCTCTTTCTCTCTAAAAACATTTCTCTCAAAACCGGCTATTTCTTTTCCCCTGACCTTGCACGTACAACTCACGCTCCACTAGATGGAGCTGCCTGGAGGCTTCCCACCGGTGCGTACGACAGCACAATCGCCCCCAACAGGCGAATCGACCATCAGAGAGGATCCTAAACAAGGAAAACCAACATATGCAAACACCATCACTGCCCCATCTACATCCTCTTAGATCCCCCATCCAAATCCCAATCGGCAATATAAAGAAAAATTTATAGCAAGACACACGACTCAAAATGGCATGCCGGCAGTGATATTCAAAGCAAAAGACTACTATGGCATAATGGCGGATTCATGTAAGTACACAATTGTGGGAAGATTTCTTCGACCCCGTCCCCAAATTGACCGAACTAGGTCAAGATTTAAGGAAATTGTTCCATTAAAAGGGACGGCCGGAATTGGGGTGTATGACAATCACAACGTCTTCATCTACCTTTTCAACGAGGATGACTGGAAGTCTGTTTGGTTTAGAAGAGTAATTGAAATCGACAGAATGCAAATGTGGCTACAAAAGTGGTCACCGAACTTAAAACCAGAGGAGGATCTACCAGTCGCTCTGGCTTGTGCTCTTCTGCCGGCTCTCCCCTTCCATATGCATGACTGGCATTATATAAAATAGTTATTGAGCTATGTAGGTATGCCCCTTGCTCTATATGTTGCTACTATCGGTAGAACTAGGCCTAGTATGGCCAAAATTAGAGTGGAGGTGGACCTGTTGAAGCCATTGTCACAAAGTATTTTAGTGGGACAGGAATATGACAAATCTTCGTTAAAAGGTTATACTGAAAAATTAGAATATGAAGCGTCCGAAATATTGCAAACACTGTCGGATATTGGGCCACTACATAGTCAATTGCAGGGCGCTAGAAAAGAAAATGGCCAATCAAGTTAAGGAGGAGGGAAATGAAGATGAGACCACAAATGAGNGGAGGAGGGAAATGAAGATGAGACAACAAATAAGGACGATGCTCAATCTATGAACAAGACGACGAATAATAACAATGTTGATAAGGAAGACAAAATTCAAGTTGATTCTCAGACTATGGACACTGGTCAAATGCAGCAGGAGGATGAGGTTGACAACTCTAAGACCATTATCGATAAGGAGGAAAGAAGCACGAAAAAAAGAACTAAGAAGAAGAAATCCAAGAAGATGCCAAAGAAGAAAAGCAAAGTAAGGTTCAAACCTGCCCAAAACAGTAACAAAAAGAATGTTGTCTCTTCATCGACGAGCAAACAAAATGACTAATCCATTGCGGAGATTAGGGACAAATTACAGAACCAAGATGGCTATGCTGTGCAAAATGATGAAAAATAGTCCAATTCTGATGAAATATTGACGAAAGAAGGGCAAGGGAAGGAGGAAGCGCCTAACATACATATGCAGGATGACAACAGGGAGCTGAAAATATAATGAACAGAGAGGAGGAAGAAAAAAAGGCAGAAGAGAAGGACTACCACAACTGCAGTGATTCCAACACTTCTACATTGCCAACTAAAATAAGAAATTTACCTAGTATAAATTTGGTTGTTGACTTGAATTGTAAAGAGAGGAATTAAGAGACATCATAAAGAAGTGTCAACAAAATCAATAAGAACATCACAAGAGGAAGCGACACAAAAAATGAAGACTTATAGGGAGTCTCTGAAAGTCAAGATGATGGAAACCAATACATTGTTAAAAGAGGGAGAAGCAAAACTAGAAAAAGTAACAAAAAAGTCAAAGAAATAGAACACACCCTTCACAAAAAAGAAACAAAGAGAGGATAATGCCCCGGAAATTTCTTATGATTAGTGTATTTTTTTGGAACATAAGGGGAGTACGGTCCAAAAAAGCCATTCACAGGCTTAAGAGGTTAATTGACATCAACAACACTCACTTCGTGGCTATCTTTGAACCTTTTATTTCCAAAGAAAAGGTGAATGGTTACAGGAGATTCTTAGGTTTTCAACATTGCCATTCGAATGGTTGTCACAACCCAACCTTCCCTCCGTTTGGGTATCGTGATGGCACCTAGTCTTAGGGACTAGGAAAGCCTAACTCATACTGAAATACCACAATAATAAATGAAATTTAATAGTCTTGAAGCATAAATCTCTACAAAACTTATAATTCCCAAAATCCGGTAGTACAAGTCATAACCTCTATAGAGTTAGCTACCACTTCTAAATATAACTGTTCAAAAAAGAGTGAAAACAGTTGAATACAAGTAAGAAGGTGACTCTGAAGCCTGCGAACACAACATCAGGTTTACCTTGAATCTCCTCAGCAATGATCCGCACAACTACTAATGATTGATACCTGGATCTGTACAACAAAAATATGCAGAAGAGTAGCATGAGCACACCACATCGGTGCCCAATAAGTATCAAGACTAACCTCGGTGGAGTAGTAAGGAGGAATAGTTAAGACACCTACCGGTCCAATAAAATATACAAATATAGGAACAACGAAACATGATGTATATATAAAGACTCCACGAAATGGCTAACAATACTACAATCGCAATAAGGGAAGAAAACAGCAAGTAACAACGGATATACCAAAATAATGACATAGAAGAGCGAGCAAAAACACAAACCCAAATCCTAAATTCACAATATAGTAAAGGTAAGCAATAACTCATATCCTACGATAGTGTTCACATCAGGTCTTATCCAACAATTTCCATGAAGTACCGAATCTCGGACAAATTATAGCTCACGAGTCTCCGTACCTGAAATCTAACACCTGACATCCTATGCGCCCATCACACC